CGGCAGATTTCTTTTTTAAAAAAGACCACTGTAAGTTCACATTAGCATATAAAATTATATGATCCATTCACTTCTGCACAAAAATTTTGAAGTTCAAGTAGCCTATACTGGGATTTGGAAACATGTACTTTTGGGACCAGCTCTCAGAATCCTTATGTAGGATGGCCCACTGTAATCCAGAAAAGTAACTTTTTCAAGTCATGGTCCTGGCCTATGTACTCAGAGGTAAGAAGCACTTCATGACAGGTATATTCTTTCCATATTCTGCCTATGTTCCTTGCAGTGTCCCTGGAACAATGGGGATTAGCCAAAGTCCAAAGGGAGGGAGAAGATAAAGAGCTCTAATAAGTGCATTAGGAATTGCCTTTCACCATGGACAACTAATGACCAGCAGAACTTTTACCTCACTAGAAGACCACTACAGGGAGGAAAACTCATATTCTCTACTTCAACTCCTAAAGCCTCTTCAGAAGCCTGAAGCTGGATTTTGGGCAATATGTAGGACTGCATGGAGGAGAGGATGGATCCAGAAGCTAGTCATATTGTCAGTTAAGCAGAGGAATAAGGAAATGCTTACTTTTTTTTTCAGACTTTGATCCTCCAGGCATTTTGGACTTCAACTCCTAGAAGCATCAGCCAGCTTGGGCAATGGTCAAGGATTCTGGTAACCTAGCACTGTTTCTATATAGAGCCAAAAGTTGCACCTGCTGTGAGGAGTCCATATGAAGAACAGTGGGTTTCACAGAAGAAGTATTGCTTCCAGCTACTAATCTGGAACAATGAGAACCTGGTGTTTACTAAAGTGCAGACTGCTAAATCAGGCTGGATCCAGGGTGATACATTTTCACACTTCAAAAAGACCCACCACTGTTTCATTGGCCACAAGCAGCCCTCTAGCAGAGTCTTTCTGGAGATATGACTTCTGCTGATCACATGGCTGAGCACTCTGTTGTGACCTCATTGTCACCAGCAAGGGTCGATCAGACAGTTGCTTCTGAGTGGTAATGGTGGACTCTAAAAGGGCAGAGTACAACTGTCAATATATTGTTGGTCCATCCATCTATCTGGAGTCCTAATAACTTTGGGTGCTTCCAAAATGGTAGGTGTTGCATCTGACACAGCTCTGGAGCAATTTACTCTGGAGTATTTCAATAAGTGTAGATGCAACACAAGTCCAAAACATTTGGAGGACCAAAGACTGGGAAGCTCTGGTCTAGACTGCAACTGTCTTCAAAGAAAGAGCCCTGTGCATAACAGAAAAAGTGCAAGCCTGCGCCTCTATCATGGCAGGGGGAGTGAATCTATTCTTGATTTTATCATTTTCTCCCCAGCATCTGCTCTGAGTGGAACACTTCTGTAGAACTTCACCACCAACTGTGTTCCAATTTAGTGGTAAATTCCAGATGGGATTTACTGCCCTTCACAACCCCCAGAAACCCTCCTTCTCATCCCACTGGTCTGTTGTCTCACATCAACTGTTAGTGTTTCTCCCATATATATGGCACCTCTATGCACACTCAAGGCATGGCCATGGCTGTGGCAAAGCTAAGCAGTATGACTCATAAACAATATATTTTAGGGAAATGAAAATTAAACGTAAATTGGATTGCATTCTTCAGATATAAGTTGGATATTTTAGCTCTCCATCATGTGCGGTAGCAAAAATGGACCCCATGCAGGTATTGGCATTTACTACTAGTGTGTGTTTATTATTTTAGCACTTTGCTAAAAATCTGATACAGAGCCCAGTAAAGATTTTTTCAAAAGAGCTGACTGGATTAAGTGCCTCTCCAAAAAATTTCTAATGTTCAGAATTTAAGAGAAAAACCCCAGCATGGACTGTATATACTAATCAAAACATCTGACCTTGGACCTTGCCTTAGGTTAACTTTGAATTAATGTGAAATTGTTAAACAAAGAAAAACAAATTTCCAGCTATGCAGTTATATCTCTTAATTCCGACAAATGTATTTACTTAAGTTCTTCAAATTCAATCACATCTTGTAACATTATGTTTCAAGATACTTAAAGGATTCTGGCCACAGACTATCGACTTTCATTTTTATTGGCATAATTGGTGCTATATTGGACCCACGGCATGCTTGGATAGAGAACAGACATCTATACCTTGCCTCCAATAATAATTATTATAAAACCTAGAAAGGCTAGGCAGGATTTCAAGATTATCTTAAAATGACAATTTCCCAGAGGCTTCAGCATTTACTTTATTGCAGTCCAGTTCCCAGACTCTCCTTGGCAGCATGGTCACTATCGATATAGAACTATTAGTTCATGATGTGATAACCTTCCAATGAGACTACAATATGCTCTCCTTGGGGCTTCCCATGAAGACTATCTGGGAGCTTCAGTTAGTGCAGAAGTGAATATAGTACATTGGTTACCAGTTCTCAAAATTAGCTTCCAATAAGTCTCTGGGCTCAATGGAAAATGTAGAAAGTCCTTACATGGCTCATGACACAGATACTTGAGAACTTCTAATTGAGATTTAAAGGCAGCCAAGGGGTTCTGCCTAAGATGACCCTGTGGATCCCGAGCCGTAAGGTTTCTACAATATGGCAGAGCTCTCTTAGAGGTAGTACTCCTGCCATGGAATTTTCTTCCACTTAACCACTAGTTGTCCTCCACACATTTGTCTCAAGCAACAAATAACACATTTGTGCAAAGCTTGAAGAAACAAGTATCTTATTTCTCTCCGCATCCTGTTTTTATTATTACCTGTTGTTCTCTTCTTCTTCTTTTTCTTTCCCTCTCCTCATCCCTTTCCCCTTTCCTTTCTCTTCTTACCTTTCTTCCCTTTTTTTACTTTCTTTTTCTATCCCTTCCTTCCTTCCTTCCTTCCTTCCTTCCTTCCTTCCTTCCTTCCTTCCTTCCTTCCTTCCTTCCTTCCTTCCTCTATCTCTGAGACTGCTTACCTCATGAAAACATGGCTCTCTTTGTGGCTCTTTCCTACCTTCTTCCCTTTTCCTCAAATACATATCACATTTCTTTTTGCAGTGACATCACAGAGGGCCACTTCACTCAGCGATACTCGATCCTTTATCTAGCAACAGTCAATCCAATGACATATCTCTCTCTCTCTCTCAATCTCTCAATCTCTCAATCTCAATCTCTCTCTCTCTCTCTCTCTCTCTCTATATATATATATATATATTCATGATTTTACTATCTGAGAATATCTGAGAACTATCTGAGAATTGAGATGTTTTGGATGGTCCTGTTTTACTTCAATCAATTACAAATGTACCTCCATGGTTACTTTTAAGTCAGGATTTTTGACCGATCTTCGACAGAACATTCTGTTTAGCACCAAGTCCCATGACGCTGGTTTCCAAGAGAGGAAGCTGAAAATGACTGCCTTTGTAAAGGACCCAAAAGTGTTTCAAACACACATCATATTTTTATCTTTCCCTTTTCCAAAGCTAATGCAGACGAGAACACAAAATAGCAAGCTCAGCCATCTGGATTAAGGCAGACAAGCGGGTTGTATGGAGTGGGTAGAGAATAAGCACTGAACACCATCACAGAATGTAAGCTATCCAAAAATATTAGTACAGTAGATTAACAGAGCACAGTGGCAAAGATATTCCAGATTGTCCATCCAGCATTGTCTCATTAATTACAACAGGGTTTATGCTAGCAAACAGTCCATGGCTTGGACTACAGCAGTTCTACTATGTGGGTTGTGAATACCAAGAGCCCTCTCAGCTCCTGACAAAGAGAAAGACTGTGGTTATCCGTATGCTTGGTCCCGGGTGGGGAGATGGAGAAAAATCAAATTAAATTGATGTTGTACATTTAGACTACAGATGGTGTTGGAACGCTGCCCCAAACTGAATAAGCTCCACTTCAGAAAATAAAGAGTGAAACCTCCAAATGGTGAAGCAGTATTGATAAATACCAGATGACACCAGTAAAATATTAATTGTTAAGGGACAAACGTTTGTAAACCAAACTAAATAAAGAAGAATGAGTATAAGAAAATAATGAAGGAACAGTTATAACTAAACCTCTCTCCCCTGTTTTTGTGTACACTTAGAATCATAGAATCACAGAGTTGGAAGAAACCTCATGGGCCATCCAGTCCAACCCCCTGCCAAGAAGCAGGAAAATCACATTCAAAGCACCTCCGATAGATGGCCATCCAGCCTCTGTTTAAAAGCCTCCAAAGAAGGATCCTCCACCACACTCCAGGCCACAAAGGTGGAAAGAGACAGGAAATCCTTTGAAGATAGAGTTTTGCCTCAAGCCACCTGGAGATGTCATAGCTCGAGAAAATTTGTGCTGTACTTTCTCCCCCTTTTCCATAGGGTGACATCAGTTTGGATCAAGTTCAATGCAGTTGGGAAACTGACATCCACACAACATTCAGATTTGGACAAATTGTATTCTATTATTATTCTGTGTGCGTTGCAACTACAGACACAAAGAAACCAATAGCTCCATAAAGAAAACAGAGTAATTTTAAAAAAAGGTCAGTGCCATTTTTGGGAAAATGATTATAATTTTAATAGCTGATGCATCTATTTTGAGGCAATGTTATATATGCTGAACACCTTTGGAATCTTCACAAAATGAATCAGACTATTACTATAGCAACTATTTTAAATGACTTTTTAAAAATGGGTGGAAGTGTTCCAAAATGCATAGAAGCAACGTTTCCCATTCAGATTTTAAGAGGATTGGAAGAGTTAACGTGTCAGCTCTCTCTCTCTGTCTTCCCTTCTTTGTGGCAATTCAGGTGTTTTATGTTAATGTCTCTGTTTCAACCTCTCTTGCATTTCTGATGTTTTATCATGACAGGAAAGGGAGTATTTGTCTTGTCCAGCTCCAAATTCTCAGGGAAGCCAAGCTGAAACTGCACACAAAAGCAAAGCCTATTCTTATTTTGACCTCTGCCTTCCAAAAAAGAACAGTTAAGGGATGATGTCTTTTCCAGAGAAAGGAGGGATGAAATCCCCTCTCTTGTGGAAGAACCTTACCTGGGTAATCATTCTTGTCTATGTCTGAGTCTCCTCTTAGCGTAAAGCCAAATCCCGCAGGCATCGGCTGGGAGGCCCACATACCACTGAGAACCTGGGAAGGGTTCGGGTTTAACCCATTACTGGCTCCATTGTAAATGAGTACGTTCCCTCTCCGGTCTTCTCCGGCAAATGGTGCGCCTATTGCAATGTCTGCAAAAGAACAAGGGGGGAAAAGACAAGGTTATAAAACTGCTCTTTTAATTGGCACATAAGCAAAGTAGAATTAATGCAGTTTGACACCCCTTTCACTGCCATGGAATTGTGGTTTGGTGAGGCAACAGCACTCTTTGGTAGAGAAGGCTAAATACCTTGTAACTCTACAACTTCCATGATTCCATAGTATTGAGTCAGCACAGATAAAGTGGGGGTCAATCTGCATTAATTCTACAATGTAGGGCGCATTTTGAAGGCATATTTCACATATTTTACATTGAGACAGTTTTCACATATTTTGTAGGGAATAGTTTCTCAGAAGATGAGTTTGGAAAAATAATTTATTTGGTCTAGAGTTCCCTAAATTTGAGCCAGACTGCAAACAAGTATTATTCCCAAGTGTGGATGCCTTAATCTTAGATCTCCAGAAAAATGTATGATGCATTTTTAGAGGGAAGATAGCATTATATTGCAGTTTGAGCATTGGTTATGGAAACAGACTGTGCCTTGAGCAAGTCGCACCCGCTCAGGCTCCATCTACACTGCCACATAATGTAATTTCAAAAAGCGGATTAAGTGCTTTAAACTGGTGTCTACATTGCCATATAATGTAGTTCAATGCAGTTAATCTGCATTCTGAAACTGCATTATATGGCAATGTGGATGAGGCTTCAGCCACAGAACAAGTCAAAAGCAAATTCTATCTGAACAATGTGTTATTCAAGGCTTTTGTGGTCAGAATCACTGGGTTGCTGTGAGCTTTCTGGACTGTATGGCCATGTTTCAGAAGCATTCTCTCCTGATGTTTCACCCACATCTATGGCAAGCATCGTCACAATCTCTGAGTATGCCTGCCATAGATGTGGGTGAGACATCAGAGAGAATGCTTCTGGAACATGTCCATACAGCCCAGAAAACTCACAGCAACCTCTCTGAACAAATCCAGCCAAGAAAAGTCCCATGGTATGTTTGCCTTAGGGTTGCCATATGTCAGAAATGCCTTTAAAACACATTTCAACAGAATGGGAAATGGTACATTTTAAAGGAATGGAAGCAGGGCAGGAGAATGCTCTTGGAAGTCAAGAATCCATCCATAGTCAATGCTGGGTATTGTGAATGATTACTAACTCAGCAGTTGGGATGGCACAAGATTATTTGAAAAGGTATAGAAACAATCTCATTCCAAAATGAAATGGTGGAAATCTATGCATTGGCAGGTTGTGACTCTGTGCAGTTCATAACAGACAGGCACACACACACACACACAAGAATATGCATCAGCACTGGGAGAAAGCAGTATATATGTGTGTAAGAATCTTGTCTCAGAGGTTAATCTATAAAAGATTTTAAAATCCCATCTCTCTAGTTAATCATTCCTGCTTTTGCTCCCAGTCATCTATTTTAATTTATTTTTAAGCTCTCAGTGGCTTTTTGGCAGGGCCAGTCTCAACAGACACACACAAAAAATGAGAAAAGTATAGTCTGGATATATTCAGTGAACTGAAATAGACAAATGATCTGTCACCCTTTCTTCTGCTTTTTTGATCCAAAGTCTTGACCAGCTTTAATGTTTCTCAAGATGCAAATGATTGAATCCTTGGATACAGAACTCTGGGACAGGGAGGGCCAACTGTAATTAAACGTGAAGGTTTCCCCTTGACATTGAGTCTAGTCATGTCCAACTCTGGAGGGTGGTGCTCATCTCCATTTCTAAGCCGAAGAGCCAGTGTTGTCCGTAGACACCTCCAAGGTCATGTGGCCGGCATGACTGCATGGAGCATCATTATCTTCCCGCAGAAATGGTACCTACTGGTCTACTCACATTTGCATGTTTTTGAACTGCTAGGTTGACAGAAGCTGGGGCTAACAGCGGGAGTTCACCCCATTCCCAGGTTTCAAACCACCAACCTTTCAGTCAGCAAGTTTAGCAGCTGTGCCACCCATTGCTTAAACCACGATTTCCCCTATCTAGCCCTCTAAGCATCTTCCATATGCATTCTCATGCATTACCGTTATATCCATCCTGGTTCAGGTCTCCAAGGTGTGCAATGGCATTGCCAAATCTACCAAACACTTCTGTGCCAGATAGTATCTGTGCATCTCTAAAGGACAAGGTGCTGTCTTGCAGGTAGAGATACACTTGCCCTACTTCTTTAGGGTTGCTCTCAAATTCACGCTCCATAAAAAGAGGTGCTCCAATGAGGATGTCATCCAGCCTGGAGGGGAAGTCACAAACAGAGGGGTCAATCCAAAATTCAAAGGTTGTTCCTCCACTTAACTCCACTCTAATACATTCACACACGTAACCATGGTTGATGGCTACAGAACTGTAGAAGTTCTAATTAAAAAAACCATTCCCAAGCTCTTAAATAAAACATAGTTATAAGACATAACATATGGCTCAGTTGTCCCACTAATGCAGTGGTTCCCAACCTTTTTTTGACCACTTGACCAAGGACCATTTTATCCAGGGACCTTTTGGTACTACAACAGTAGTACCAAAAGGGTTACGAATCAGTTTTTGGTCAACTTTACAATTGGTTTGGTTATTTGGGGTGCCGATTCAGAAAATTACATTCTATATACCTCATCAGCTCTAGTTTCTGATATAGAACATACACCATCCAATAGTCGCTATCTGCTCAATCACAGAAAACCAGATTTTATAAGCCTCGGCACTATAAGAGGGTTTCACGAGACCAGTTGCTCTCATTGCAACAGTGTAGTAATGGTGAGGCCACGGACCATATTTTAGTTCTTGTGGACCACTGGTGATCTATGGGCCACAGGTTGGGAAGCACTGTACTAACATATGGCTCAGTTGTTCCACTAACTTGGGATAATGGGAAATGAAAGTGTAAGCTTTCAGATTCTCCTTCATGGCTGCTCTACTGAAGATGTGAGTCCTGGTGTATGTCTTTTTTCGATTCTGCACAAGACCTCATCCACATCCCTGTTCTCTGAAAATTACACATGCAGAGCATCTGCACTGGAAAAATGTTGAGAAGGAAATTTGATGAAGCAGCATTAATGGCCTTGTGGTACTAATGTTGGAAAAGGCTTTTATGTGTCCCTATGTCAGCATGACGACCCAATTCAGCCAACTGTTCTTCTCAATGCTTATGATCTTTGCTGTGGTTTGTTTTCCACGTCCGAATTCAGATAACAAAAACAATGATGTCAATTGCACTTCTATTTGTTCTCTCACCCCGCCCCCGTGTTCAAACAGTACATGGGGAGTTGTATGTTTTGAAACATCTGTTTGCACTAGAAAATTTTAAACGAAAGAACATTTTTGCTTGTCTTCAGCTATAAATAGCCTCATTTGGGAGCCAAATTTGAGTGAGGAGAACAAGAAGCGATGCTACGGCCCATTCAGTACATGTAAAATAATTCTACCCAGAGCTTGGAAAAGTTACTTTGGGGACCACATTTCCTCCCAAGCCAGCAACCACATACTGGCTATGGAGATTCTGCTTGCTGTACTACATCTACAACACCCTTTCTACTATCTAGTTCAGTGGTTCCTAATCTGTGGTCCGTGTCCCACAAGTGGTCCACAAGCACTAAAATATGGTTCGTGGCCTCACTGTTACTACACCATTGCAATGAGAGCAATTGGTCTCGCAAAACCCTTTTATAGTGCCTAGGCTTATTAAATATGGTTTTCTGTGGGTGAGCCATTGGCAACTACTGTTTGGTATATGTTCTGTATCAGAAACTAGAGCTGATGTGGTCTATCCAATGCAATTTTCTGAATCAGCACCCCAAATAACCAAACCAAATCTAGTTGACCAAAAACTGATTTGTAACCCTTTTGGTACTAATGTTGGAGAGTGATCCCTGGTCAAAGTGGTCCCTGTTCAAGTGGTCCCCGGTCAAGTGGTCCCTGGTGAAAAAAAGGTTGGGAACCACTAATCCAGTTTGTTTTACAATGAGTCTCTACAGTTAAACTCCTTTGACACTGCAGCCACGGTCCATTAAACAAGTGATTTGTTTGCCTATACATTCATATGGGAGAGGCACAGTCCCCTTCTCTTTAAAGAAATTGTGTTCAAAAGCCTAAGCTGATCACCTGCTGAAAATGTTTACAATTGTTTTGTGGGCTGCAGGGTAAGTAACAGCAGGAACCCAGAACCATGTCAAAAGGAAGGAAGATCCTAAGTATTTCAAAGCTCTGAAATAACATAAATAAAACAATTTGGTAATGCATTTCTATGGGATACGTGATTTAAACTCACATAAATAATTCTCATCTTGAGTATAAACTGCTCTCCAACTCGCCATGCTTATTTAATAGCTACTAGCATTTATTTCAAAGAGCAACACTACGAAACTACAAAATAGGTCTCTGCACAGCTAGCATTTATGAAGGCGATTGGGCCTCACGCAGTAGTAGTAGAAAAGATTCAGTTCCTTGCCATATAAACTACTTCAAAGCAGATAATTTGGATTCCGAAACTGGATTATACGGCAGTGCAGAGGGACCTAAGGTAGTTTCCTTTTAGATCATCCAAAAATGTTTGCTCCAGAGCAGTAGTTCCCAACATTTAGTTATCCAGGTTTTCTGGACGTCAGCTCCTACAATTACTAACAGCTGGTAAAATGGCTGGAATTTCTGGGAGTTGAAGTCCAAAACAACTGGATGACCAAATGTTGTGAACTACTTCTCCAGAGGCAAAGGAGGGTCCTGTCTAGTCCACGTAAAGAAGCCATTTCAATCATACTTCAACAATGGGATTAGGGCACAGTCCACCATCATAACTGAAGGCAGCAGAGTAGTTTAATGAGTGCATGCTACTTTAAGAACAGCCTAGCAGACACAGCAAAAAGTTGAGCTAAAGGAATAACTGATTTACTTTACCTACCGGTCTTGCTTCCTATGTTCCCAACAACAAATCCCAGTGCACAACATTTCTTATTTTAGAACTGGAATGGAGCAAGAGCCTTAAGAAAATATGTTCTCCACGTCCTTGTTTTTCATAAAAGCAATCTTATTTAAACAATCAAATCTCAGGCTGCTTGCTTTATCCACTCCCATCTCCAGGGGACAAGGATTCCACAAAGAACTCCAGCAGTCATCTCCTCCCCACTGCGGTTACTCAGGCTTCATGAACTACTGTTTTCTGAGAGCATATCTGAATTTGAGCACTTAGCAAGACTCAGCAAGGAGCAAGCCATCAAAATGGGAAGCAGTGGAAACATCAGATAACTTAGGCTTCTTTTGGGCTACAAACTGCTATATAATTCAGATTCTCAAAGCAGATAATCCACATTATCCACTTTTAATTGGGTTATATGAGTCTACACTATCATATAGTCCAGTTCAAAGCAAATAATCTGGACTTTGTATGGTAGTCTGGAAGGGGATTAACATTGACATATAAAATCCAGATTATCTATTTTGAACTTGATAATATGACAGCATACTCATATAACCGAGTTCAAAGCTGACAATGTGGACTGTCTGCTTTGATAATCTGGATTATATGAGAATGTAAGGCCCTATCTGCTTCGAACTTGATTATATTAGTCTACACTGCCATTTAATCCAATTCAAAATAGATAATCTGGATTTTATCTGGCAGTGTAAATGGGCCCTTTAAGGGATTGCTGCTGGAAAATGAGGTTTTCTAGCCACCAAGGCCCCATCTACACTGCCATATAATCCAGTTTCAGAATGCAGATTAACTGCATTAAACTGGATTATATGGCAATGTAGACTCATATACATAATCCAGTTCAATGTGGTTCATTCTGCATTATGTGAGTCTACCCTGACCATTATAATGCAGTTCAAACTGGATTATATAGCAATATAGATAGGGCACGTGTTGACGCTTACAACATGAGAGTATTGATTGTCTAGCAAGGTCTGTATTTTGAAAAACAAGCACAAAGGATTAAATCTCATATTAGTCCTATCTAGAATTAGCACAAAGGGTTACATCCCGTATTAGTCCTATCTAGAGCAAAACCCACTGCAATCAGTAGCCCCAAACTGAGAAAAACGAAAACAAACTAGGAATAAAGCCACACAGATGAAGATGGTTGAATGCTTTGTTTCTTTTGGCTTTGCATCAGATCAGTGTTCTGATTTTTTTTCTAGGATAATAGAATGATATTTACGAATATTGGACATTTTGGGAGGATTAAGAGATTTAAGAGTTTAATTCTATCTAAACACACACTGCCAAGCTGAATTCTCTCTTTCAATGCACTTAGTTCATGGTAGTCCTGGAATAGTTTTGTGGATCTCAGAATAAAGACATAAACAAATCAGTTAATATTTGGTCTGGGTCAACTTCAATGCATTTACTCATGTCCATGTTGTCTATTTCATGTACCATTCTGTATTTAAAAATAAATGTATATTCAATTGATTTGCATATGCAGCACTCCTTAAGAAAGGAGTTTTGTGCACATCTTTCTGTAGAGCATAAAACTTTGAGAGATTCTGGGCCGGTAGTCCAAAAAAAGTAGATTTGTTAAAGTAGATTTGGGAGTTTGGCCCAGAAGATAAGATTCAGGCCCCATTTATACTGAAATGCAATGCAGTTTGATGCATTACATTTCAGTGTAATGCATTACATTATATGGTTAGTATAGAGCAGTGGTTCTCAACCTGGGTCCCCAGATGTTTTTGGCCTTCAACTCCCAAAAATCCTAACAGCTGGTAAATTGGCTGGGATTTCTGGGAGTTGTAGGCCAAAACATCTGGGGACCCCAGGTTGAGAACCACTGGTATAGAGACTCATATATTAGTATAGAAACTCATATATTAGTATAGAGACTCATATATTGCAGTTCATTGCAGCTAAACTGCATTATATGAATCCTCACTGACTTTATAATGCAGTTTCAAACTGGCAGCGTAGATGGGGCAATGGCTACACATTCATATGTTGGAAATTACAGCCTTCTTCAAGCCTCCTCTAGTGATTTGTTTACCTATAACCCTATTGCTTACTTATTGTATGCATGTTCTGATATGCAGCTTTCTTTCCTTGCTCTATGTTTTTCCTGAGCAGTTGTGGGAAGGGCTGCAGACCATGTGATCCACTCTGAGATGAGCAATAACTTCTTTAGAGATGGGACTGCTTAGATCGCAGACTTGCAAACACTTGTCTGCTGTTGTTGTAAGACAGATATGTTCTGACCAGACAGCAGAGAGAATTATCTCAAACATATCTGTAACTGACTGATAAGTTTCGAACCTGTGTATGCTGAACACATGAAGGTTGTGAGTAAACCAAATATGTTATTTTTACCAAAGTCTAAAATGTTTTTGTAAAATCATAACTAAGGCATCAAGGTAGGACGTTAGCCATTATCTTTAACGATGGCCAAGGAACTGGCACTAATTTACTCTACTGATGTGATATTATATTCACAAATAATTACTAGGGAAATGATACTACCAACAATGTATAAATTAGTACTGGTTGTTTGTATGTAGCCAAAGACATAATGCCTTTATGCAAATTCAACCTTTTTATTCTTGCTGTTTAATCTATTTTTCACTGTCTGCTATATACCTATATCACTACAATTGAATTGTAGCACTAGTAGACCAGGTTTTATCTCCTTGTGTATATTCTTGTCTAAAATCCTTTGAATGACAGCATCCAAAGAATATTACAATCTGAATATTAATCCAGGAAATGTAAATTGGGTCAGTTCAAAATATGGATCAAATCAAAAATTAATAGGCTTGAATCCATTTGAAGGGGAATAGAAGAAGTGAGAGACAAAAATTAGCAACTTACCCATCACTGTTAACATCTGACACTGCAAGTGTATATCCAAAGTAAGATGCCATCTGTAAATAAAGAGTAGTCATATTTTTATATCAAAGAACCCTCTCAACTCTCACTTTATAAATGTTAATGTCCCAACCCATTCCATTTCAAAAGTTTTGTTATAGCTATATAGTAGGCCTGTCTTCCCAAGAGTCAGCATTCTGGAAGAAGCAAAGACCACCAGCATTGAAGCGATGCTCCTACACCATCAACTTCACTGGACTGGCCACATTGTCTGAATGCCCAATCACTGCCTCCCAAAGCAGCTACAATACTCCCAACTCAAGAATGGAAAATGGAATGCTGGTAGACAGGAAAAGAGATTTAAAGATGGGCTTAAAGCTAGCCTTAAAAACTATGGCATAGACACCGAGAACTGGGAAGCCCTGGCTCTTGGGTGCTCTAACTGGAGGTCAGCTGTGACCAGCAGTGCTGCGGAATTCGAATAGCCAGGAATAGAGGGCGAAAGGGAGAAATGTGCCAAGAGGAAGGTGCATCAAGGCAACCCTGACTGGGACTGCCTTCTGTCTGGAAACCGATGTCCTCACTGCAGGACCAAGAATAGGGCTCCACAGCCACCTACGGACCCACCACCAAGACATTACACTTGTAAGGCTATCATACTTGGACAATAAGGGATCGCCCAAGTAAGTAAGTAAGGTAGGAAGTTAAATATTTGAATAGCACTGTATCTGATATTTTTAACTGTTGATAAATAAGTCTTCTGAATTATTGATAGTTATTACCTGTTCACCAGTGAAATTCTGAATAAAGGTCAAATCAGTGGAATTTATAATTGAAACCTGGAAAGAGAATATCGAAGAATTTCAATCAAACCATACATCACAACAATTACAAAGCGTGCATCCACACTGTAGAATGAACACAGTTTGACACCGCTTTAACTGCCATGGCTCAATGTTATTGAATCCTGAGATTGTAGATTGGTGAGGCAGCAACGCTTTTTGGCAGAGAAGACAAAAGACATTGTAAAACTACAGCTTCCAGGATTCCATATCATTGAGCCATAGCAGTTTATTTTTCGTGTCAGGAATCATTTGAGAAACTACAAGTTGCTTCTCATGTGAGAGAATAGGCCGTCTGCAAGGACGTTGCCCAGGGGATGCCCGGTTGTTTTGATGTTTTTACCATCCTGTGGGAGGCTTCTCTCATATCCCAGCCATAGCAATTAAAGTGGTGTCAAACTGCATTAATTCTGCAGTGTAGATGGACATTGCTTATTAGTATTTGCACTACTACAGAGGATTTTCACCTTTTAGCATGGTTTGTCTGTTGTTATTGAAAACCATTCTGCACCTACTCAAAAGTCCTGCAAACCCAAGGAAGTTGTTGCCATTCTTGAATCCCAAATGTTCCTGTCTTTTAAATAACCTGATTCTACACTGAAGAAATTACAAGTGTGCCTTATCTACAATTTTATGAGGACTTTAATTTTGGCAGGATTTCTGGAATGCTAATATGAGCTGCCACACTTCTGATTAATGAAGAAATAAAGATCATAACCCAAAACATATCTCAAAATGCTCCACAAAAATTTTGGTTTACTATATCAAAGCAATCTGTACTGTCTCCTTACCTTTAGGGACGGCAACTAGCATACTTGCAGTTACTTAATTAATGTATGGCTAATGAAAACACTTTTTAAACCATTGTGCCCAACCCCTGCTCTGGGAATTTATCTAAATGCATACATTTTGTTACGTAAAATACATTATCTTTTCATTTTGTACTATCGTTCCTGAAATCGCATTTTATTGTTAATTAAGGCTACACTTCAGGACAAAGGGGGAATTTCATTCAAGATTTTCATATGATTTTTTTTCACAAACAGATGCTAACGATTTCAAAACAGATTTAAAAATGCCCTTGGGAAACCAGAAATATATTTACTACTAATTCACCATTTGTGCAAGGCAAGCAGAATACAATATGTTGTAGATTACATACATAGCCAAAGTTCTGTGCACCTCTTGGGACTCCAGCTACCAACTCTAAAGAAAAATAAAATAAGAGTCTGAATGTTAACTTAGTTCAATACTTGCTTACACAGCAATTGTTCTGAAACTAGTAGAGAGCAGGCTGAAAAAAAAATCATAGCACTATTAAATATATCATAAATATTCAGGTATATTTCAATTGTTTGACATTTAGAATATGTTTGACTACTAAAATCTCTCTTTTGATGTAGAAAACTAAGACAATGCTCAAATGGGGCCGAACCCAAAACACGTTGTTGTCTGGGCTGAAAAACAAAGCTGGGCTCCTTCTCTTTCTATGTGCAAAAACCAACTGCAAAAGTCATTGAATCTTTCTCCATGAATGGCAATTAAACATCTGCAGTTTTATGTAAGGCAGAAGAGTAGCTTAAGGAGCACAGGATGAGTTGTGCAGCAAGAAAACTTTTCCTACTATACTTTTCATGACATAGCTCAAAAATGCCCTTCAAGGGATCTGTTTCATTCTGTCTAATGTAGCATTTCTCAACCTGGGGGTCGGGACCCTGGGGGGGGGGGTCGTGAAGGGGTATCAGAGGGGTTGCCAAAGAGTATTTTCTGTTGGTCATGGGGGTCCTGTGTGGGAAGTTTGGCCCAATTCTATTGTGGGTGGAATTCAGAATGCTCTTTTATTGTAGGTGAACTATAAATCCCAGCAACTACAATTCCCAAATGGCACAGTCTATTTTCCCCAAACTCCACCCGTGTTCACATTTGGGCATATTGAGGATTCATGCCAAGTTTGGTCCTGATCAATCATTGTTGGAGTCCACAGTGCTCTCTGGATGTGAGTGAACTACAACTCCAAAACTCAAGGTCAATGCCTACCAAACCCTTCCAGTATTTTCTGTTGCTCATGGGAGTTCTGTGTGCCAAGTTCGGCCCAATTCCATCGTTGGTGGAGTTCAGGATGTTCTTTGATTGTAGATGCACTATAAATCCCAGCAACTACAACTCCCAAATGACAAAATCCCCCCCCCCCCAACCCCACCAGTATTCAAATTTGGGCAAGTGAATGAAAATACATCCTGCATATCAGACATTTACATTATGATTCATAACAATAGCAAAATTATGATGTTATGATGTAGCAACTAAAATAATGTTATGGTTGGGGTTCACCACAGCATTAGGAAGGTTGAGAATCACTGATCTAATGGTCCCTCCCTTGATATATTACACAGCCCAACATTCTTGGTGTCTTGGTTTTTAGACCTGTTCCTAAGGTTATTTGGCATTTCGATTCAGAAAATTGCACTGGATAGATTTCATCAGCTCTAGTTTCTTAGATATGATCATCATGGTTTATTATGAGTGAGCAGATGGCAATTGTTATATGGAGTATGTTCTGTATCTCATAAACTAGAGCTGATAGGGGAAAACTGGTGCCATTTTTGGAATCAGCAAGTCAAACATACTCAGAAATGTGGATGACATTTGAGGCTTCAAAATATCTGTTGGTCGGTGTTATCAAGAACACAAAGAACCTCAATAGCACTAATGTAATTTAGACCAGGCATGGGCTGGCTTCAGCCGTCCAGGTGTTTTGGACTTCAACTCTCACCATGCCTAACAGCCTCAGGCCCCTTCCCTTTCCCCCTCAGTTGCTTAAGTGAAACGTCAGGAGCGAATGCTTCTAGAACAAGGCCATACAGCCCAAAAAACCTACAACAACCTACTGGATTACATATCTGTAGTGTAGATCAGGAATGAGCCAAATTGGACCCTCCAGGTGTTTTGGACTTCCACTCCCATGCTTCCTAACAGCCTCAGGCCCATTCCTTTTCCCCCTCTGCCGCTAAAGCCTTTCCCCCCTCAGCCGCAGAAGAGATACCTATTGATCTACTAACATTTGCATGTTTTTGAACTGCTAGGTTGGCAGAAGCTGGGGCTAACAGCGGGAGCTCACCCCACTCCCCAAATTTGAACCACTGACCTTTCAGTCAGCAAGTTCAGCTGCTCAGCAGTTTAACCCGCTGTACCACCAGGAGCTCCATGGAAACTGATGCTCATATCATAACATCTTGACCATTTGACTTTGTGTATATTATACTGTAGCCTAACTATTTGAGGTTTACGCATATACTCACAGAAAAGAAAGATGCAGAATAATGAAATCATTTATAATTTATCTTGAAGACTACTGGCTTCTTACCTTGTTGAAGGTCTCCAGTGAATTCGCCCACAGCCAAAGAGTACCCTGTTTGAATACAAACCTATGAGTATGAAGTCTAACAAACCACTTAAGTCTGAAGAGAGCCACTTGTGAAAGGACAACTCTGTATTGCAATCATATCCATTAAAAGCACTTTATAAAGTAGAGCCTTTAAGGCCAGAGAAAGGAAAACAAGTTGTCAGAATTTTATGAGGAACTTCATTATTTGTCTCAGAAGCATCATAAATCTACAGAATGAAACAACTAGGAAAAAGCACAACTGCAATTATATCCCAAGATGAGCTGTTAGTGCAATACTTTATAATTCACCTAGATGGAATATTTGTTTTGTCACTACTGGATTGCACAACACCATATCCAAAGGTGTTCATATACACTTAGCTGAAAAGAGACAATGTACATATTTTATTGCACAATGAAAACATCAGGACTTTTTCAACATTCATCTACACTGTCCTGGCATTGTAGCTCTCCAGAACACATTATTTGGCTAGACTAGCTAGCTAGACTAGTTGAGGAAAAAGGTCAAAGAATTACAACAATCATTTCCAGAAGGTTAGCTGTTGGAAGTGGTTTGAGGAGAGCGGGTAGACGGTTAGGTCAGAAAAAAATGAAATATAGTACAGAACATAAGTTTCATGTGATAATGCTTACAGTGCATACATTGTAATCAATGACCACTATAGGCCGTTGGAAGTTTTTCGGGATGTATGGCCATGTTACAGAAGCATTCTCTCATGACATTTCGCCTGCATCTATGCCAGGCATCCTCAGAGGTTGTGAGGATGCCTGCCATAGATGCAGGCGGAACGTCAGGAGGAAATGCTTCTGGAACATGGCCATCCAGCCTGAAAAAACTTACAACAACCCAGTGATTCTGGCCATGAAAGCCTTCGACAATACAATGATCTCTATAGCTCATATTGATTTCAGTGGATCTGTTCCTGAGATGGAAAACTTTGTAGAAATGGGTTAACTGTTAACGAATTACTACAGAAACAGACACTGAGCCCATCAAAAGATAATTAAATTATCCTTTAACCTGTCCACCTCTAGTCCCCAAAAATGTGGTTCAATCTGAAATCAACTCACTGAGAATTATGTTGTTAAACATGGTCATTCACAAAAATGGTGTTGATAACAATAATTAAAATATGTAGTACAACGATTTAAGCCACAGGTGACAGAATCTAATCTCTTAATGAGTTGCATGATTTTATAATCCTTAGAAGCAATTAAACAAGAATATTTGTCAAGTGTTTGGAAGGATTAGTTTTGCAAACATGGAATGTATAATGAGTTGCAAGAGTTGCCTTGGACAGTGGAACAGCTGCGAAAGGTGTCCAACATTGGAATAAACTGCTTTGGGGGAATACTGGGCTCTCCATCTTTGAAGGGCTTTAAACAGAGAATGGACAGACATATTTTAAGAGTGCTTTAGTTATGCATTTCTTTATGGCAGGGAGTTGGACTAGATTATCATCACTGTCATTGATTTATAAAAACCATGTTTTACATGAGCAGCCTAAAATTGTTAATTTGATGTTCCTTGCACTCAGGATGACAATCTGAAAAGAGAAAGAAGTGTCAGTGGAGGAGAGAACTCACGTCCCTTCTACACTGCCATATAATTCAGATTATATAAGCAGATAATCCACATTATCTGCTTTGAACTGGATTATATGAGTCTACACTGCCATATAATCCAGTTCAAAGGGGCCTTAGCCTAGGAGAGGCTGGCTGCTGTTCTTTCTTTCCAGTTCCAGAGCACTGCAGTTGGCTTAGGGTAGTGGCTTCCAATCTATGGTCCATCAAGCACCAGTGGTCCCCAAGAATGAAAATATGGTCCATGACCTCACTGTTACTACACTGTTGGAACAAGAGCAAATGGTCTTGTGAAACCTTCTTATAGTGCCAGGTCAAATGGGATGTTGGGAGGGGAGAGACACTGACTATGCACAAAAGGCACAGCAACAAGTCTCCTGACTGCTGCTTCTCCTCCTCCTCCTCCCTCTCCCTGAGAAGCCATTCCATGTGGTGCCTGAAAGCAGGGGCACCTTGGTGGCTTCATTTTTTCGGTTTGTTCCTGGGGTTATTTGGGGTCCTGATTCAGAAAATTGCATTGGGTAAACCACATCAGCTCTAAATTGTTAAATATGGTTTTCTGTGTGTGAGCATATGGCGACTACTGGATGGCATATGTTCTGTATCAGAAACTAGAGCTGATGTGGTCTATCCAATGCAGTTTTCTTAATCAGCACCCCAAATAACCAAACAGAATCTAAAGTTGACCAAAACTGATTTGTAACCCTTTTGGTACTAATGTTGGTTAAGTGGTCCCTGGTTAAAAAAAAAAGAATTGGGAACCACTGGGTTGGAGGAATTAACTTTCCTAAACTGCCAGATCTAGGTACAATGGAGCTATGTATTTTGCTCTTCTCTCCCTTTGAGAACACAGTAGTGGCAGTTGGAATGGGGGAGATGGCATTTCATAATTGGCTGGGCCTTGTCATGATCAAGCTGTGCCTGGCTGTTCTTCTCTTCCTTAAAGGCCACAGCAAATGAGGGAATGCTTTTGCTAAGTTGCTGAGTGAAGATATGATGGCTCTGTATCTCCTAATTTTCTCTCTTTCTGAGGTCTAGCCAGTGGCAGTTGGGACAGAGTAAGGGCCACCCAATCTATTTCTGGATCAAGGCATAGAGCTGGTTCTTCCTGTTCTCTCCTTTGTACTCAGTTCCAGCTCTGCAATTCTATGATTGTAATATAGTTGTAATTGTTACACTAGGAACAGATAGCAAGTAGTTTCTCTTGCACACAAAGACATTGCCATTTCCATCCAATCATGCAGAAATTTCAGTACATATTGGGTGGGTATCCTGAATTGTATCGATACCCATTTTGGAAATGTGCATCTTTTTCCCATTGGACATTTCTCTTGTTAACTCATGGCAAAAAGTTTTAGATCACACTGACAGGCATGACCAACAGTATGTCCAAATCATTGTCATCATTGTCATCATCATCATCATCATCATCATCATCATCATCATCATCATCATGTAACTTACCAAGATAGTTGTCATCATACACTGATGGTGCCATTCCAGTTTGCTTTTCTTGTGACAGCTTCCTTAGGATATTCTTGAATGAATAGTCTGTGATGATATCTGCAACACTACTGGTGATAATCTGGCCTGTGATTAAAAGAAAAACATTAATAGATTAAAGAAAGTTTTATGGGGCAGTAAGTTAAAGAACAGTGACTAAGGATATGTTTCTCACCCAGCTTCTGAACCATTTATAAAGCAATTAGTACATGGTAGGAACAGTATAGAACTAAGACACAGAATCACGAGACAAAGAGAGAGGGAATGTGGAGGGAAAGGGAAAACTACCGAAGCTGTGACAGAGTGAAAGGAACAAGAAGAAGCCATAGTAAAACATATTCTCTTTTTAATAACCTCTGTTCCTAATGCTTGTCTTAACTGGATGAAGCAGATTAAAGCAGCAGTGGAAGTCTATCATTAAGAAAAGCATGAAACACATTTTAGGGAAGAACAAAAAGATGTTGTCTATGATGCAAGCTTAAAGTTGTATGACTAAGAATGGACTAAAAGGAAGTGCAATCCCATGTGTTTACTCAGGGGTAAATCACACTTTACTGAATAGTGCTATGTTCCTTATGTGGTTAGCTTTCAAATCTTATTTGCTGATTCTTGCAAGCCAATCTTTTTCACATGTTACTTCATCATCAGCTATATAAATATATGAACATACCTTGCCAATAAAAACTGCCAGGTCCTCCTAATATAAGGTCTCCATTCTACATACATAACAGACAAGAGCAACATGAAAGTACAATGAATAGGATGCTCAAAAGACCAGAACAAAAAAAACCCCCAAAACAAACCTAACAACAACAACCAAATATGTAAAAAAATGAATGAAAATATGCATCAGATGGAATGATTTAGCCAGCGATTTGCAGAGGATGCCAATGGAGGAAGCTATTCATAATATGTTCACCTGTCACAGCTTTAAAGACATTCCTTCTGACTTCACTCTAGATTCTAGTCATTGCTATTGACTCAATGGATTAAACCAGTGGTTCTCAACCTGGGGTCTCCAGATGTTTTTGGCCTTCAACTCCCAGAAATCCTAACTGCTGGTAAACTGGCTGGGATTTCTGGAAGTTGTAGGCCAAAAACATCTGGGGACCCCAGGTTGAAAACCACTGATTTAGCCCATGGTCATCTGTGGTCTTTCAGAAGCTGTTGGACTACAACTTCCAACATTCTTTCCCATAGGCTTTGCTGTAAGAATGTATCACTTTCACTCCAACAAAATCTTATCGGGATATTCTTGATTTAGGAGTACCAATGAAGAAAAGAGAACTTGGTACAATGTGGGTATCTCATATATCAGGAATTGGTCAACTGTTGCCAACGAGCAGAAGCATCCTCATCTAAGGTACTTCTTGAGAAACGTTGCTCCAAAATCAATCATACAATAAAGTTTTTATAGTCTGGAATAATAAAGTCTGATGAAGAAAGTCTCTGCACTCTCATAAAAGGACATTATGTGAGTCAATGTAACTGATCATATGATTGTACATATGTTGTTCTGAATTATGAAGAGTAAACTACTACTGTTCATCTGTGTGGCATATTTTCTCTGGCAAGGCAGTGTGTGGACTGGTCAGACATGAACTACGCATGATTTTTATTTCGTCACACACGATACAGAGTAATAAATGATTTAAACAAACACTTTGAGAAATTATGAACTGGAATCGAAAAGTATTTATCTGAGAGTAAATATGAAACCAGTTAGTAGACCCAGAGCCATGCTGACTACTCAGGACTCTCACCTTATAAAAGTCTAAGCTGAATCCTGCTTGACAGTAACCTTGTCCCTCAGGATCTGGATTTTCTGAAGATATCAAAGTATGAAAATTGAATTAGTTTCATAATGTGAAGTGACTAAAATATTACCACTGTGAATGGAAACAGCTTTCCAAAGGGAAAAAGAGCCAATCATCTGAAAATCTCATCTACTGTTTTTGTGCTAAAATTCAAGCAACTGATTTCTGAGCTGGAAACTAGTGGAAAGAAATATATATATATGAATACCTGACATAAAAACAATTATATGGATCTTGCCAGGGAAATATGAATCCCAACCAACAACTTCAAATTCAAAATCTGCTCTGACAGGTTTGAAGGTGAATATGAGATGTGGCATTCAGTTTACCTTGACATCAACTAGAATCACATCAAATGACTTTGGATTGCATAGGTACCATAGACTGTCATGGCTGCAACTTCCTACATATGTGCATATACTGTACAATTATTTTGAGGTTGTGAAAGCCACCTTCATTTATGCACTCAGCAATAACAATCCAGAAACATATTTAGGAGCTGCATAGAAGGAATTGCACAATTCTGTTCCTTTAACATTTTCCCAATCCACACTGCACTTTGACCCTCATTTTACTTGCTCACAAAACAATATGATTATTTTAGCATAGGTTCAATTAGTAGGTTTCCAGCTCTATAAAAAGAAAGGGAATGTGTGTTCCATTTGAAATAATCAGCTGCTTTTAAAAGTTGGCTTCTGCTTATCAGGAACTGTTGGCTATATTTAAAGCCCTTTTAAATTAAGCCAATTCTGTCTTCACGTGTCAGCGTAACAGCAACAGCCTCATCTTTGCTCTTTTAATTAAGTATAAAAGCATCCAACTGGAAACATATAATCTGATGTCTCTTTTTGAACCATGATCCACTTTGCAAGAAAATATCTCTTAGTTAAGAGCCATCCAACCGAAAACTACACCTGGACTTAACGCATGACAGAGCAGCTTACAATTTCGCCTCTACGTGGGCCAAATTATGAAACAGAAAACAACTTACTATTGCGACAAGGGGAATATTCAGCGTAGGCACTGAAGTTTTGAATTGCCACATAGCAAGTGCCAACTGGATCTTTTTCAGGTGAAGCCTTCAGCGTTCTCCAATGATATAAGGGAGCACAAGCCTATCAAAACATGAGTTGAAGAGTAAGTGATTTTTAGGTGTCATGAGTGAGACTGGTCCTGTCCACAGAGATATGAAGTGATGCTTTTGTTAATGACATCCTCTACCGTAATGGTTCTCAATCCATGGGTCCCCAGGTGTTCTGGCCTAGAAATCCCAGAAATCCCACCCAGTTTACCAGTTGTTAGGATTTCTGGGAGTTGAAGGCCAAACCATCTGAGGACCCACAGATTGGGAACCACTACTCTACAGTTTCCGCCAACATGGGCACCTCTGGCTGCAATGGCTTAAGAAGTCTGAGAGTTGCAATCCAGAGAGGAAATTTCCCAAGTACTAGGTTTTTCTTGGAATCTCAGTAAAATACTGAATGCCATCACTGAATCTAATTCCCCACCATGCAGGAATACACAATTAAACTGAAGTATGTCCATCCAAAAATGTCAGTCTTGCAAATGTTAACAATCATATGATGCACACTGCAAGTGTATTGCGTAGATAAAAAGATGTGCAGGGATTCTTTTTTTTTACTCTGCAGATATATTTAGTTCCTTATTTATACCAAAGGAACATGCTAATGGAAAAATCTTCTTCACTATAGAATTCTTATAGGTGTGGCGAACCACTGATCAATAGTAGGGTTTGTGTTTGTTTTGCAAAGAAAACAATTATGCTTCTGCAATAAGACCAGATATTGATTACCATGACCAACTATTACTAGGAAGCAAGCTTCCTCCTCTCATGGGGTTCTTCACATGCATACAATTTGACCCTGAAACAAGTGTTAGTAGATATCATGTAAGTTGACAAATTTGAATTGGAAACAGGAGGGAAGGAATGAAGGTTGGATGAAGGTGATCTCTCTCTAATGCAGCATAATTGATCTGCTGTATCTGAGATAAAAAGGGTGGTGATGACAATCATCATCATCATCATGCATTGCTCAACTTCAAGGTTTTTCTCATGTATTTGGAAATAAACAAACATTTTAAAATACTTGATATTGTTCAATTTTCTCCTTTAAAGAAAACCAGATCCCAGAACTCTCCTCCTCCTGCCCAGATGGCCCTGCTGGTGGCCTCAGGTGGCAAATACTGAGAGACATCAGTAAGATGTTGAACGATGACTACAGGACTAGGTGTTATGTTATAATAGTTTTTAATTGCATTGATATGTTTACTTATTTTGATTTTAATGTTTAATATGTTGTATTTATATTTTGTTTGGAATGCGGCATAATGATTGCCAAAACTGTAAGCTGCTCTGAGTCCCCTCTGGGGTGAGATACAGTGGGTGAGAAACACAGGATCGAAATAATAAATAAATAAAATGTTGAAACTATGAGTTCGAATGCCTGTACTGTGCCCCAAAGTCAGAACACTGCCATCATGTATATATTGTCCTATTATAAATATGGAATTTAAAATACCTATCGTTTCAGTCAATTTTTGCAGATGAAATTGGTAGCGGGGTGGATCATTTTGTTCCTAGTCTCAGATTGCAAAATACTGCAGCCTTGGTTCAGCCTAGAGTGGACCTGCACTCTCGCATAACCAGGAGCCAATCTGATGTGCCAAAGGCTGGGTATGGTCCAGACAGTGACTCCTCCAGTTGTTGCAGAGACAAGAGGGAGTTCTCATTGCTCAGCACTGGCAAACGTGTTTGCCACACTAACTATTCCCCCCACCCCCATCCTGTGTGGCAGTTTCAGCCATGACATGGGTCCTACTTGTCATGTGTCGTGACATCAGTAAGGGCAAAACAAAGGAGGAATTCTCCGTGACACAGAGGACACGGGTCAGAGGACTGCCAGCTTGCACTCCTGGGCTGCCTGAGCTCAGTAAATGGGATGGCAGTGGGGGCAATTGTGTTCAACTATATCCACAGGACCTAAGTTTGGAGAAATTCTATGCCAGGATTCCAATTTTCCCCAGACTTTAGCTGATGTGAGGCAAGGGTGATCTACCTCTACACTGAGCAAAGTCGTCAGTGTAGATAGGGCCCAGGTGGCTTATTATTCAAGGAAGTGGGTAGCATATAACATATGATTCTGTAAAGTGATCTCTCCACTACTGGATTGTCCATTTCATTTCAAGACACTCAAAACTGTAGCAGGATGTATGTTTGTGATCTTATACTTTGTAAGAAAACAGTCCCCTTATTTGAACGCTTGACTGATGGCCATTGAGAGTTATTGGCCAATATGCACAATCATTTTTCAATAGAGAAATCAATGTTGTATTGACAAAGACCAGAGAAAGAGAGGATAGTATATGTGTGCCAAAACGGATGTAAATAAAAGGTGCTGCATTCAGAATCTGAGATTTGTGATTACTTGGAGGAAAGACGTCTGGGAATCCAACATACATGTTCACTCCGTAACAAGAGAAGGTGATGCTTTATTCATCACCTGTTTTATGTCAAAAGCCTGTTCTGGGGTTAACCACATGAGTGAATATGTAAAGCAAGGCATTTCCTTTAGATGCACATGCTATTAAGAAATAATTCAAACCATTTCAAAACAAATCCCAAGGTAACAGTTGTTGCTTTACAATGGTTTGGGAAAAAATTAAGCATGACCAAACTCAAGGTTCACGATGCAAGATGCTCTGTCGTCATTTGCAAAGCTTTTTATAATCCTACTGCATTACTTGCTAATACAAAATGCCTGCCTGAGTAGCAAACACATCACCTTCACCTCACTGTTTAATAAGGCAGCTTGATAGAACACAAATAGGTCATTATGGACTTCCACCTGGGGGTTACAGGATGACCCCCTTTATTCACATATACTTATCCCATGATCTCAAAAAATATTTTCCCTTGGAAATGTTTCTGAGCCTTTCTAAATTCTCAGTGATTCTCTGGTAAGTTTCTAGCCCAGGCACGAGCAAACTTGCACCCCCCAGGTGTTTTGAACTTCAACTCCCACCATTCCTAACAGCCTCAGGCCCCTTCCTCAAGCGGCTGAGGGGGGAAAGGAAGGGGCCTGAGGCTGTTAGGAATGGTGGGAGTTGAAGTCCAAAACACCTGGAGGGTTCAAGTTTGTCCATGCTTGTTCTAGTCCAAGTACAGCCAAAATATAAGTGTTGCTATATGTTTTCAGATATTCGTAAAGGTCTTGAAATTGATACAGGGCCAGATTATATTATATATTAATCCTTAATAATTCTTTATAAAATAAATCACAACATACACATGGAGGTTCTTGAAAAAAACTATTTCTGTAGCCATAGTCAACAAATATACCCACAATTCTATAACTGTGATGTAGGCCTCCCAAATACGATACTAAAGGCAACATAAGATCCTCTCTGGTCACTCCAGGCTGTGTACATCTTTGTACAGATTGTCCAGGTAGTTTGTCACCACTAACTACACACTTATCAGCTTTAGAGTAACAAAGGCAGCTGTTTTAATCTTTCTCAGTATGCAAAAGGATCTTGAAGCAAATGAGAGAAAGAGGTTGGTGGCACAAGCTTTTGTAGAAGCTTCATCAGATGCATCAGATTAGAGGTAATCGTACCACTCAATTGTGGATTTTGTAGTTCTTTTTCTAGGGATTAGTATGGCTGCCTTTGCTTTTTACAGTTAAGTACACACGGCTATCTGGGACTAAAGAAAAAACATTTCAACATAAAAGTATAAAAACTTACCACAACTTTTCCTTTATGAGCTCTGACTGTTGCTCCAAACCACTGATTTGATTTAAACTCAATAGGCTCTCTTGTGCCATTCACTTTGATTTTCCTGTTGTCTGCAAAAGAAAAAGAATTTGGCAGTATTTACATTTCCAGGACAGATAGAAAAGAACAGGAAAGATGGTATATATTATTGCACATCACATTATTCAAATCATTGGTTGTGTGAAAAAATTAGAACCAAGATGTGTTATTGCTACCACACATAACTAAGGACCTTGTCAGATGGGCAGGGGGAAAATGGGGGAAGGCGGAGGGAGCCGTCCTCCTTCATTTCCTACCATCTTTCCCCATCTTCTGAGATGGCCAGCCATCCCATGTGCCCTTTCCAGTGCTCTCCCTGCTTCCTCACCATTTTGTGAAATTAGGAGTCGTGTAGACCCGACTCATGAAAACAGAGTCTTATCTTAGTTTCCAGGTGCTGGCAAAAAGAATTCCCATGGGCAGCTACCAGAAGTGATAGTGCATTATGTGTGACTCCATTTTGCCAGCACCTGAAAACGGTGAGAAGATGCAGAGAAGACTGTCTGATAAGGTCCTAAGTTGCCATACTGACTTCAACGGGAACTAAGTACAATTTATCCAATCTTAATCCAACCCATACCCCTCAACTGAGCCAGCATGGTGTAGTGGTTTGCATGTCAGATTATGACTCTGGAGACAAGTATTCAAATCACTGCTTGGCCATGAAACCTACTGGATGACCTTGGATGAAGGCAATGGCAAACTTCTCATGAACAAATTTTGTCAAGAATAAGCTGCTTTAGGGTTGCCATAGGTTGGAAATGACTTGAAGGAACACAACAATAACAACAACAACAACCACAACAGAAAAGAAAATACAAAAAAATAAATAGGAAGAAAAAGTTATACTGAAATACATATGCACAGACTTCTATAAACTTACTAAATTTTGTAAGCAAATTGACGGAAACATGTGGGTTTCAGTCAATTTGGGATCAAAGGATTGGGAAATGTGACCACATTAAAATGTATCTATTAGCTCAAACTCTTAAATGTTCTAATTATAAATGGGTCACATTTCCTGGAAAGTATTGTGACATAACTTTCCCTTTGTCACCAAGAGCAATCCAATGTGATCCAGCTAATGTTGATTTCCACCATCCATTATTCTCCAACTAGACTTGAAGATGGAAGAGGACTTCCTACTGACCAGAGCTACATGTAGCTACATTGCCACAAGAGACAGCACTTTTAACACTGCCTTATATACACATCACTGATGTCAGCCTAAGAAAAGCCATCTGGGTAAAAACTCAGCCCAATTATAATGCATTTCAGGTTTTAATAAAAAGCAGACCTCCCTTCCTTTCACCCTCAGCCCTCTGAAGTGAACTGATTTCCCACATGTTTCTGAAAGTATGTTCCTCCCTCACCAGTCACTTTTAATGAACTTCTCTATTTATACCCAGGAGGGAACGCAAAACCCACCCCCCTCCATTCCTGTCCCTCGTATCTGGGTAGTCATGCTTTGTTTCTGGTTCGTATCAAGTCGTTGTTCACCAGAGACAACTCTTGTTATTCAAGCTAAGTAAGAATAAAAACACACACACTGTCAGAGGAGGAATTTAAAGTATTTTTTCAACGTCAGATTATATTATATGCTTTAACAAAACTAAAATATAAAACACACACAGGTACAGTGGTTAATACTTAGAACCAATGTGGACATATCATTCTAAATTGCCCAACAATGGTGTCACAGACTGGCTTGCTCCTCAGAAAGTGCTCAAAAAGGTTTACTTTGGGATTTAACTTGCAGAAACCCCATCATTCTAGCTGGGGACTCTGGAAGTTGTAGTCCAAATGATTGGACTGGATAGGCTCTTCCACCTCTATCATCTTTCTGAACATCTGGATTGCATACTTCAAGTTCTGCAGCATATACTTCCCTGCTTGACTAACTCCTACACAGCATTATGATTGTTTGAGAATCAACATAATTGTGTTCACAGTAGGAAAGGAATGGGATAACCCTGTAAAACACAAGCCACAAGACAGTTGCTTACAGCTTCTATGAATCTAGTATCTGAGGAAAAGTCTCAACCGGCCCAATTGATCTGATAAGAAAGAGTGTGTTGAAAACAAGACTGGCATGGTCTAAGGACACAACCATTGAGCATAGTGAAGCAGCCCCCTTAGCTGGATGAAATGTAACGTCATGAAAGAAACTGTTCAATAGGTAATTTATTATTACTACAGCCAAGGGAGGTAGATTGAGAAAGTCCTGCAAGATTTTCTGTTCCAGGTATCAAAATAACATTGCTGGCCTTAGGTACTATGACTTTGACTCTTGGTTGGGGTGGAGTGGGGGACATTATTTGTTGCTCTGCCTTATGCAACAAAATATATTGGGCTACCTCCACTTTGTTTATTATCAGCTAGGTATCAGTCTTAGTGGCACAGGACTGGTCTGCAGAAAAAAGATTTCATGGACATGGAAACCTATTGGATGACAGTCAGTGAGTCATGTAATATCAGTCCCAGAAAATGCCAACATAGGTCAGAAATAGCACATTATTAAATATATTTTTCTTCCTCTCCTCTTCTTCTTCCTTTTCCTTTTAAACGGTTATTCCCAAACGCTAGTCCTCTAAGTGCTTTGTACTTCAACTCCCAGAAGCCTCCATGACCTTGGCCAATGAAGAAGGATTCTGAGAGCTGACATTCAAAACACCTGGAAAGATGGAGTTTAGGAAACCCTACTCGAGCCCCCAGTGGTGCAGTGGGTTAAATCGCTGAGCTGCTGATCATGCTGATTGAAAGACCGCAGATTTGAGTCCGGGGAGCAACGTGAGCTCCTGCTATTAGCCCCAGCTTCTGCCAACCTAGCAGTTCGAAAACATGCAAATGTTAGTAGATCAATAGGTACTGCTTGGTGGAAAGGTAACAGCGGTCCATGCAGTCATGCTGGCCACATGATCTTGGCGGTGTCTATGGACAATGCCGGCTCTTCGGCTTAAAAAGGGAGATGAGCACCAACCCCCAGAGTTGGACATGACTGGACTTAATGCCAGAGAAAAACCTTTACCTTTACTACTTTAGCATCTTCAGCATACTGGTTTTTTGTTTTTGCTCCTCATTAACTCATGACCATGTAGTGTGGACTTACTTTTTGGCTATATACATTTCTTATAATATCTCCATGCAAAATGTAGTTGCTGTGATCACAACTCCACTTTACTTATAGTATAACCTAGAGCAGTTTACTCTGGTACAAGCTAGAAAAAATCATTTAGTGTACAGGTGACAAGCAAAGACCAGGTCCCTTTGGAAGTGAAATGAACCACTCTAAAATAAAGCTGTGGTTTCTACCTACTCAAGGGACTCCCTAGGTTTGCAGAGTACATGAGCTTGTAAAAAGAAAAGTAGAACAAATTATTTTAATGACCTGACAAAGCTTTGTGAGCTTCTAGGATCCTCTGAATGCTGGAAGCAGTTGAAATACGGATTGTTGGACATGCCAGTTTGGCAGAGAAGGGCAGAAAATGGAGAGAAGGAGGAGATTGGACTGCTCAAGCATGTAATAGTGTGATCGCATGCAAGCGGAATTAGTGTCAAGAAAGAAAGGAAAAGAAAGAGACAGGGAAGATAAAGTATATGCTCTCTTTCTGCAAGTGTTGGCACCACTTAGAAAATACTAGGAAAACAACCCTGTTTGAAACAAGTATCTGGAAAAAGTGAATAAAAGCAATGAACTTTCATCATTAGTTCTACACTGTTAACAACCTGAGTCTTATACAAGTAGACAAATTTTGGTAGACATTGAATTGTTGCCTACTTGTAGGCTGCTCTGAGTTCCCTTCAGGGTGAGAAGGGTGGGGTATAAATATAATAAGTAAGTAAATAAAGGAATTGCTTCCCTGAGCTGCTTCAGACTAATTGGAGAAAAATAATTATGAAATTCTTTCACTTCCTATAGATTTTGCCTGAAATTTAGTTTTTAATCCCAACTAATTCCCAATGGGAACGTCCCAATGGGAACGTTTCCAATGGGAACGTCGACGCTTTTATTTCATTTAATGGCCTACCATGGATTGGACTAATGAACAAATTCTAACTGTCAATGGCATGTTCCATCTGAAAACAGCAAACAAACATTTTGAATTCAGTAATAATGTCTCTTTGTCTCTAATCTCCCTGTGTAGAACAGAAGGATCTGAATGGACAGTTTTACTCAGGTTCACCTGAATGTGAATTCAGTTATCCATATGTCATTTTAGAAACTTAGTACAGTACATGGTACATTGCTCTCAGAGGTGTTTGGTGCCTGTCATATCAGTGAAGAAGTGAACCTACTCTGGATGCCCATCAAAAACCTAAAGGAGTTGTCCAGCATGCTGAAATTATCTTGAGGAGAGGGTTTAGCACCTTGAAAACTTCCTTCAAAGTTTAATCTAAAGCTTCATGTGTATTCATTGATGCACAAATATGGAGGCTATCTGCTGCCATTGATTGTACACGTTGTCAAGGGACATCTTGCTCACACCTGAAGAATCAAGAGAGAGATCATACATTAGAGACAAAACAAAGTTCTGAATTCCACCTCCAGTATTTCCAGTCCAAAGAAACAAATTGGAAATATGGAAAGTTCAGAACTTGGAATTACTGCCAGCTGAAGAAGACAGTGTTGGCTCAGAGGCACAACAATCTGACCCAGGATTAAGCAACTTCTTACACAAAGAAATGTACTGACTAAAAGCATCACATCCATAGCTCACCCTGAACCGAAATTCATAAAAGCAAACATATTTTTTCATTCATTTTTTTCTTCCTTTTTTTGGCTTACTAGGCAATTGGAGCCAAATGAAGAAAGTCTCGTGCTTTAAAGCTTTTTCGTTTCGATTAAGCTCACATATTTGAATACATAAGTTGCTCAAAAATGCAGTCTTAATTGGAAACAAAACTTTCAGAGCCTGAAACACAGACATGACCTTGGCTTAAAAGGAAAATAGCCGTAGTCTTGTTCTGACAAATAAATACTCAGAACTCTTTCAGGGTTGGGAGAGGGGTTTAAGAGGGCGGTTTACAACAG